TAGCCAAGCTCTTGCGCAATGGTGATGGTGGTCATTGTTGGCCCCATGATGGAATTCCCCCCCCTTTTGTGGACATGCCTCCTCCTTTCGGGGATACTGGATCTAGCCCTATGGATGAAAAGTGGTGGAAGAACATGGGTATGGATGAGAGTATGGCCCGGAGGCTAGGTTTGGAGAAATAAATGCAGGGCGTTTGAGAAGCTGGATAGGGAAGGACTATGAAGAACAGCTAAGTTTCATTCTTCATTGCTCCTCAATGGATGCTTCAGCACGTGTATCAAGGAAGTAGTAAACAGAACGAAGTCCATCAATTAAGACATACAATGAGCTCCAGAGTGATTGCTCGATAAATTATATCCTTTGTTCCACGCTGGCCTCCTCAATATCATGCAAACGTATTATTTGATATTCCGAAACCAATTTCATCTCGTATCATACTAGCACCAAAAACCAACGCCTAATGCTATCCGTACCCGATGCAAACTCGTTTATATTCCCCAAATACTCCGTAGCCTGTCCTCCGCAATGAGAAACGACCATGTCATATGGGCTTCCGCGCCCTGTAGAATCCCTAATAATTTTTCTTGTTCACTACGATCCGTGAAGCGATCGCCGCCTGAGAAATCATAGTCAGCCTCAAGACTCAATGTACTAGTCAAGTCGACTTACACATCGCTATCGCCATCCCAGCAACAGTAGCGGCGGGGAGGTATCGGCGGTCACAGAGCACGATTCCGCATATCCTCCTCACGAGCTTTCGGATCAGGTGATCGACGGAGACGCAGGCTGCGAGACGGTCCAATCCGAGGATGGGGATATGAGGGTCATGGACAGCCAGGAGAATATGGCAGATATCCGAGTACTGTTGTCCAGATACTGCTCTCAAGTTAGCATCGGGTATTGAAGTGAGACTATAGTATGGACTTGCTTACCATGGCAGTCATTAGCAAACCACATCTCAGGGAACCCACCCTCCCCATCACCCGAGCTCCAGATAGCATCAAAGGACGAAGGGCGGTGTTGATCCCAGCTGTCCAGATACGCCTTGAGCTCAGCCCAGCGCTCCTTTGAACGAGACTGGGAGCCATAGGCGAACGTGAGCACGTCCTCGGTGTGCGCCACTATACGCCGCGTCCAGGTGAAGTCGTCGGCTGGATCGATGGTCCTTGAACCGTCATCGAGGTATTGGGAGAGGGGTGGCGGCACCTTCTGCGCTTTGAAGCATATGAAGATCTCTTGCCGAATTGCCACGAACAGTGAGGCCTGACAGAGAGAGTACCCCTTCGCTTCTGGGTTTTGAGAGCGGATGAGAATACCTGTGTCGAGTACATGTCCGCTGGGAGATTCGCCGGCGGGGACTGTAGAGCAATGAGTCAAGTAAGCAATCGGTCTTGCAAGTTTAAATCAAGGATCTGCGGCTTACCTGTCATCTCGTCGTAAAGCCGCAGAATCAAGGTCACAGCGCAGAGAAAGTCTCCCTCAAGAGCAGGATCACGGTTCGCCAAGGCTGGAATAAAGTGCTGGAGACACTTTGCTTGGTAGCGATCTGCGGCCAATGGATCCCATTTCTTCAAGATTGCAAGATGTCTTGCGGACACCGCCGTGATAGCGTAGAAGATGATGCGGTGTTTGGATGCCGCTTGCACAACTTGATTTGCAAAATGCCGAGACTGGTCACAATAATCAAACTGTGGGAAAGGCGCTTGATGTGAGCAACAAGGCAATTCAAAAGGGACCAAACGAAGTTGGATTCTGTGTCGGGTTTTACGTACCCATGTAGACAGCTCGTTTTGGAAATAGCATATCAACATTCCCTCACTTCTGTCGCGTAAAGGCCATAGTCGCGGCAAGGAATCTGGAGATAGCCTAGCTTGAGAAGGTTCGCTCAGAGAGATTGAGCCTGGCGATATCAAACCACCAGCATCATCTGCTGAGCCAGGGCTATGTAACGGAGGGGGGACTGGGGACACGGAAGCATCTTGTTGTCTGTGGTCATCTGAGTCTTCCTGGGCTATGTCCACTGTTGAGTGTATGAAGAGAACTGCCAATATTTCCATTAGTCAACAAATGACGAGGGACGATGGGACAAAAACCAGGTGAGCTTACAGGGTCGACCAGGCGGTCTTGCCAATAGGGTTTCGGAGTCGATAGGACTTGTCCCTAAATCGCCTTTACTTGTTGGCCCAGGTTCCTTCTGAGGCTTTGGTGTCGATGCAAGAACAGAGGCGGATTTTTTATGTCCATCACGGAAGGTGAAAGGATATGCTACTTGGTTACACTCGCGGCCGGATCGCTGGCATGGAGAGCAAGAGGGCTTCTCGCCATCACCTTCATCACTTGTGTTAGATTGCTATAAGAGTATGTCTATGGTTACTTAATTTAGTGGGACATACATTTGATATGTAGACGACGGCAGGGGGCACTATCCTCATGCAACTCGCGTTAGTAACACCCACAACAACCCAGCAATCCAGCCAAGGCCGGGGTTTGCAGCACATGGACAGGAACGGAGATGAGAGGAGAAGCGTACCAGGACCGGCGGTTTGATAACCGTTTTGGCGGCATCCGGGTGGGTTCATCCAGTCGACTCGGAATGAGCTGATATGGAATCGAACGAGATGGGACGAGGCGGAACGGGGCGGTATGTTTGATCAGGTTGACACGCAAAAAGAGGGGATGAGATGGAGAAGCCTCTTCTCTCCGAATTTCCGATTATCCCCACACGCTAAGATCACCGTCCGCGCCTCAGACTACGGAGGGTTCGGTTTACACGGGGAACTCTTGTTTCTAGCAAGATCCAGGAGTCTGATACTAGAAAATCAATTCTTTCTTCAACGTTGATCTGAGCTAGGCTATCTCAATTTTCAACCGATTTTGCCGTACCTAGACGTAATTGCGTGGGCTTACGTGAGGGACCGATAGAGGCAAATGGACACAAATTCATCCCTTGTATGGCTTGATTCTTTCAAGTTGTAAATCTCATTAAGCTTAACTTATCAACACATCATTGGCCTAGAAACACGAAACTAGGTTTTCAAAGAAGATAAAAACCTTCATAACACTCTCTATTATTACTAAGTGCTTTCGTTGGAGTTACGGGGTGAATGAAGTCTTATCATTGCGGAATGCCAGTAGGTCTAGGGTAGCTGAAGATTCGGAGTATCGGAGCGCTTTTTCCGCTTTGGGATACCCTCCCTCGCGGTTGAGCGAGTTCGTTATGATTACATCCAACTTGCATCTTATCTAGAAATGTAGACCACTATCTGCATGCCCTGGGTTGCCTCTTACAAATCCTGCGTGCATGCACCATACCGCACGCCGCCATCCACACCGACCTGGATGAGGGCTGTGGATAAATTCAATTGGTTCACGTGCATATTCACGTCCAAGGGAGGTGGTGAGGCAGGTCGCCTTGAACGGAAAGTCGGTTGATGCCTATTGCAACCTACCGTCGCAGAAGAGGACCGCCAGCGGATACAGACACGATTCGTGGATTATTCCGTCGCTTGGCTGATTGCTTTGAAGGGAGCTGCATGCTTGCCTCAGTTTGGAGCTAGCGCACGTGATCTAAATGTTGATAGAAGCACGGAGGAAAAACCAAAGAAGGCTCGAGGGAATATTCCGGAGAGCCCGCCTCTATCAGGGACTTTAAAACAAGCGCTTGGGAAAGATCGGAAGCCCGCAAGAGAAATGAGAAATTCGGTGTCGAGAAATTCAGCGAGGCGACAAAAGTCCAGGATGCTACCCCTTGATCTGCATGGGTAAAAAGGGACCAGGTACCCCTCAACCCCACTCTCCATTTCGGGAGTCGTATTCGTGTTCGAGATCGGTGCCTGGATCCGAGTGCAGATTGCTGCTGCGATCCATGTCCCATATACGTCTCCGGCGCGGACGCGTCAATTATCATGCGCGAGCATTAAGTGCCATGCCTGGATTGGAGTCCCGTATATATACCTGCACGCGACGGCATGAGATAGACAGCCAAGGGAGCTGATACGTGATGTTTTCTCCTGGCGGCGATGTGGTAGGGGCGGGAACGAACCCTTGATTACATAAGATGCTTCTTTTTTGCTAATTTCCGAGACTTGGTCTATACTCCGTCATTTGCTGTAGCAGCTCTGGGCTAGACAAACAAAACAAACCAAGACGCATTTCCCAAACATCGGAATCTGGTGTCTCGTACTCGCCAATCTCATCAATCTGTATCTGTGAATGAGGCAAGGCCTGGCCTGGCCGATTGCGCCCGCGATCGATTGAGATGGATAAGATCACGCGGTGCAATGGGCGGACGGGTTGCTCTCGGAGCCCGGAAGCTCGATATCAATCTTCGTACGATGTTGAGATCATCTTGGCCCAAGGCGGGCTCCATCTGCATTTCGCTAGCCCAGGGAGGGGCAGCGCTGGACGGCTGCTGATTGGCCCTGCGGCACACGGCGGTCAGGGCCCTGAGCCGAATTGGTGCGTTCGATGGCAGCCTTCAGCAGGGTTGCGGCAGGGTTCCAGCAGGGCTCCACAGCGAGGCCCCAAGCTCTGGCCAGTGAACCAGCCGCCGGTACGAGTACGGTGATGGAGGGCGCAATTGGCGAGCGATTGACGAGCCGCAGCGTCCGGCTTCAGTGTTCCCGGTGGTACGTGCAGGGCAGTCAGTCATTGCCTGCAGGAGGGACCTGGAGCCTTCAATGGCAGTGGGAGGTGCCTGGGCGAACATCCCGGCAGCGGCCCCTCCCCCAAAAACCAAATTTCGCAATCACAAAATAAAAAAACGGCCGGCGCCACTATCTTTTATCCCTCGTATTCGATTCGACATGCTAACGTAGTGTGCCGTCCAAACCTTCCTGCTTCCAGTCCGCGTGTCTCTTGATCAGACAGCGTCAATTGTCAGGCTCGGCGTCTCCCTCGATTGCCCTGAGCTCGCCTCTCTCTCCTGCCTCATCCTACGCGCCGATACTCGATCCTCGATTCTCTTGGCCGTCCAGGTCAAGCCGCGTTCGCCAGCCGCCATGGACGCCCTCCTCGAGATCCTCGACCCCTTGGTGCTCGACAAGGCCTACGCCTACGTCCTCCCCAGAACGACTCCCCTCGCTTCCTCAGAATACTCCAATGCGACCTACGTCTCCTCCCACATTGACCCCGACTCCTTCTTCTACTCCGAGGCCGAGTTTGCTTCAGCCTGGGGCCGCGATCACCTCTACCGACAGATCTCTTCGTGCTTGATCATTGCCGGTTTCGGCGCAGCTTTCCTCTACACCCTCTTCTCAGCCTTCTCCTACTACCTTATCTACGACCGCCGCCTCGAATACCACCCGCGATTCCTCAAGAACCAGATCCGACAGGAGATCATCTCCTCCTTTATCGCCATTCCCGTCATTGACGTCCTCACCCTGCCCTTCTTCCTCGGCGAGGTCCGCGGCCACAGCCTGCTATACAGCAATATCGATGACTATGGCTGGCCATGGCTCATTGTCTCGACCCTCATCTACATGATGTTCAATGACTTGGGCATCTACTGGATTCACCGGCTCGAGCACCACCCCAGCATCTACAAATACATCCACAAGCCTCACCACAAGTGGATCAGTAAGTACTCCCTGCCACTGTCCTCGAGAGGAGGCCATTGTCGTCAGAGATCTAACCGTCGCGCTCCCTCAGTTCCTACCCCATGGGCATCATTTGCTTTCCACCCTCTTGACGGATGGGCCCAGTCTCTCCCATACCAGTAAGCTTCCCAATGGACGCCCTTGTTCGATCCTAGATGTTCAATGCCTCTAACACGCCTTCCCCTACAGCGTCTTCGTCTACGTCTGCCCCATGCAAAAGCACCTCTACATGTTCCTCTTCGTTGTTGTCCAGCTCTGGACCATCCTCATCCACGATGGCGACATGATTACTGGTCACTGGCTCGAGGACATCATCAACTCCCCCGCTCACCACACCCTCCACCACATGTACTTCACCTGCAACTACGGCCAGTACTTCACCTGGGCTGACAACTACTTTGACTCTCACCGTGCCCCCCGACCCGAGCTCGACCCCATCAACGAAGCAATTAAGGTCATGCGCGAGAAGGGCCTGGTCGACGAGAAGGGCAACCCCATCAAGAAGCCCAAGAAGGAGTAAAGAAGCACCATCCGGGGTTGATGGCCCTCGATCTTGAATCCACACCCACGGTACAATATCAGGCGGAAGCTTGGTCAATCAGGGATTGACCGCAGCTGCGCCCTTTGGCTGGAGTTGAACAAAGGAGAGACGAGCGACCAGGATCGTTCCCCTTCTTTCCTAGCAACACCACATTACGACATGCACATAGAGAGACCAAGTAAATAGAGCCTAGAACAACCATCTTCTAGAATGCTTCCAGGGGCAGAACGACACGACATCAAAAGCAGCATTGGCAGTGGTCACGCGACAGCAAATCATGGAGGACAGGCGTTTGACGCTACGTCGGGCCAATCGGTCACGGTGACGAGAGGTATACCATCTTGTCTATTGCGCACCCTCTCCTCACCTTTCTTGCATTTTTCCGGCTGGCCGCTTGACCACAATTAGGAGTTTTTAATTTTTCTCACTGCGGAGGACGCATTTCACGAGTATATATATCTTTTGCATAAATTGTCACGACCTGCCTAGCACCTATTTAATACAATGAATATCAAGCTTCTGCAATAGCCACTAGTGACACGAACGGAACTAGACACCTAGTAATGAGCTACCTGCCCACCGTGATACCTCCAGCAAAGACGTTGGTTTGCCTGCCTGCGGATGATCGACTGCCGACAAGTGTTCGTGAGACAATTACGCGGCAATGCAGCGACCGCTAAGGCCACTGAGCACGAATCTACACCCCCGCAGGTCTCAACTTATTCTCGGCTCATTGATTAGGGGTCGTATCTGGCTGGAGGCCAACGACTAGCGCAGGACTGAGCTGAGACATCGACCATGTTTTCTTTGGTCGAGGGAGCGCCGCCCCTTTGCCGAGTTCAGCTGCTCCGGCTGTTAGATTAGGGGCTCGGAAGCTGAGCAAGCTCTTCAGCTACTTAATCTCGGGGATGGACATCGTTCATTATTCCCCCAGTTTCTCGTGGGACAGCAGTGACGTGGAGGTGTACCCGAGTGGAGTTTGACGTCAACAGCATGCGATTTGATTTTGGATTTCTAGGTGTGTATATCCTGATTGCGGCTTGTCTCTCCCACATACGGTCGGGATTTGGCCCTCTTCTTCGTCTAGACCATGGCTCAACTACTCGCTCTGTTCTACGCGCTGAAGTCATACCGAGCAGAAACAAATCGCTAACCATTGATCCAACCTACAGGCAAGATGCCCGGCCTCTGCCTCCCAGCCCGGACACGGCACGCCAAACGGAGAGAGTCGGCCCCCCCGCCCGCATACCAGCCCATCGATGGCACGGAACCCTCGACCACGACGACGGATAAGCTGCGCCGGCTCTCCCACGACTTCAGCACGCTGACGATGCGGAGAAGGAGAGGCAAGTCCAAGGACGACAAGATCCCCGGGCCGTCGCCGGGTGAGGAATCCCCGCCACCGGGTTCGGACGTCACGTCCCTCATCCTCATGGACATTGCGCCGCGGGAGGCCGCGCCCGAGTACTACAGGGGGGAATGGCTCGCGTGCCTCGAGTTCACGACGCGGGACCTGCCGCGGCTCATGGCGGAGGGATTCTTCTGGGACGAGGGAAACGTCGTGCCGGAGGGAGGGGGCCAGGGGCTGCGGCAGTATGAGCAGCAGTTTGGGTTTCGGCATGCGCGGGTATATAGGTGTCGGAGCGGAGGGGATGGGCCGGAGTGGACGGGGACAATACGGGTGTCGGCGAGGGAGCTTAGAGTGCTGACCGACTTTGAGATTGGGATGCTGAGCGTGGATTTGGTATTTAGGATGGAGGCGACTTGTGGATCGGGTGAGAGGAGGCAGAAGGTGTATCAGTATAGCGCACAGGAGGGGGAGAAGAACTTCAATGCGTGGTATGATGAGGCGGTCTTGAAGGGTTGGTGGCCGTGGCCCTGAGCTTCCCACTCCCACGAGGGATGGGGATTCACGGCCCGACGCTGACTGGATATGAATCATGAATGAGAAAAGCTCTGTTTCTTCCTGTTTGATTTGTCCATGCCCTCACTGTCATCTATAGCGTTGAAGACCGCGACACGGATCTGAGCCAAGTGCCCATGGTCATGTGATCTAAGTTGTCGTCTCTTAACAGAATAAAAGTGCGTCTAAGTTGTATCTAAATCGAACCTTAGAAACAAATAGCTCCCAGTTGCTGCTTTCTACTGGCACTGGCGAGTTTACCGAGGAAATACATACCATCTATTGGCTTCTTACTGTTCGTCTGCAAGTTCTACGAGATTTAGACTGAGATATCTATTGAATGGAGGGTCGAGGATTGAAGGTAGATTTTGCTTGCGGCCTTTGCTGGAGATGTCGCGTATCTCTCAAATAATCGCTTTTACTCAGTAATATTCTGACTACTTATGCGTTACATTCGGTTGATTGCGGATCAAATAAAGCAAGCAGTGTTTTATGGTTAATTCATTCAAATTGATAGGTAGCCTGTCCTGACCACAGAGCTCAAGGCCGAATAGAGTAGCCTGTACTGATTTTGCGCATCTTGTTTATGTTTATCACAAGAGAACTCGAGGAGTCTATCAATATGTTGATTGTGGTATCCGAACTACTGGTTATGAATGAGTGGTTTATTTTGGGAATGTTTCCGGGGGAGGGGTTCGTTCTGGCGCCAAGCATGAAATGCTGCATGTTTTATATTTGTATCACTGCAAGGTTCTCCCTCCAGGACGATCTGGGGTTTAAGTATCACGAGGGAGTATGTCTTAGAGTGAATAACATCTTACTATTGAACACTACTCGAAATTGAATATGTACTTTAATACCCATCACCAACCGGACAAGCGTGATAATGCATGCATTCATCTATATTGCCTCTGGATAACAGCCCGTAAACCATTGCCTTTTCCATAGTATAACTCTGTAGTAGGTACATATAGCGGGGTTGGCATCTCGCTAATCGGATGGAGCAAGTGGTGGTATTCTCCGGCAGCTCATGGTCCGCATCACCTATTCTTGATACTTTCGACCGGGGTTATTCATGCATCGAAGGCTCGTCAGCTCTTTCATTCGCCAATGAGGGCGAGATCCTGCTGTTTCTCCGGATAGGTGGGTGCGAAAACCAATCCAAATGCATTGTGAAGTGTTTCAAATCGGAGACGCGGAACCACAACACCGATAGCCTGTTTGGTCAGCCTCCGAAACATCTTGATGCATCACTCATATATTTCGAAGGTTTCCCTGGCATTTCTACCGTCTCCTACCGAAGTTATGAATTGTAAGAGAGAAAGAGAGTGAAACAAACCAAGTGTATCTCTGACCAAAGCTGACACGAAAATGGTTGCCTCTATCCTCCAGAGTGCGCTCTGGCTGGGCGGCCTCGTCTCAACCGTGATGTCGCACGGCATGGTCACCAAGTGGACTGCAGACGGAAAATCTCAGCAAGGCTTCATCCTTGACTACTATTATGCAAAAGTAAACGGACAGCCAGTGCCGGACATTGCTTCATGGTACACTGAGAACCTGGACAGTGGCTTCGTTGCTCCAGATGCCTATCAGAGCTCGGATATCAACTGCCACAAGAACGCCAGCCCCGGCACCCTCTACGCTACCGTTGCTGCTGGTGGCACGTTGACCTTCACCTGGGCACCAGCTCCATGGGTTCACCCGTACGGGCCAATCCTCACCTATGTAGCCAAGTGCAGCGGAGAATGCACGTCAGTTGACAAGTCCACCCTGAAATGGGTCAAGATTGAGGAATCTGGAAGTGAGTCTGACACACCTGATTGATGTCTACTACCGAACTTTGCATGCTAATCATTGCTCCGTTCTGAAGTCAACTACTCTACCCAGAAATGGGCATCCCAGGTCCTGATTGACAACGGCAGCGTCTGGACCACCAAGGTTCCAGCATCGCTCGCGCCCGGAAACTATGTGTTCAGGCATGAGATCATTGCTCTCCACGGCGCCGGTTCGCTGAACGGGGCACAGAACTACCCGCAGTGCTTCAACGTCAAGGTCACTGGCTCAGGAACAAAGAACCCAAGCGGCGTCGCCGGCACTGCGTTGTACAAAAACACGGACCCCGGGATTTACATGAACCCCTACACCACCATTACCAGCTACGCAATGCCCGGCCCAACCCTGTGGACTGGCTGAGTATCAGGTATGGCGGATGGCTCGGTCCCCTTCACGTGAGTTGAAGCCGTAGGCGCCGGCTTCGATGGAAGTGGCCTGTTTTTGGGCCGTTGTTATTTGGGAATGCATATATTGAGCGTTGCTTGCATGGGTTCGGGTGATATTTTACCTCGATGAATGAGACACGATTGCACAGCTGAAGACCCATGACTGCCTGAATAATGTTACCTACTTCAATTCTTGATAAAAACCATCGGAAAAAAAGTTCCACGGCAGAGCACACCCTCCCGTAAGCAGATACAACGCTGGAGGGAAACCTTGTCGAGATCGGCCGAGTCCATACTCCTCGTGCCGGGCCGAGATCCAGCCCTCAGGCACTCGCTTTTATGTCCCTTCAAACTCTATAGTGGCCATTATTGGCTTGGGGGGTTACACCGTACGGTGAATCAAATATTCGTCCGGACAGGCGCTCTTGGCGTTCAGCCACGCAACGGATGGGGGCGAAGGAAGACGAAGGAGGCCAATGAAGACGACTCTGTGCCTTAGAGTCGCATCAATCTGTGCCAAGTGTTTGCAGAGAGTAGCATTCCGGCCAGGCCCGTGCCCTGAGATATTAAATTTGCCCCTGTCACCGTTCCTTATATTGGATGAACTATCCCACGTTACAGTACAACAGTGCCGGGATGTAGCTTATTCTGCCTTTTTTTTAGCCGATAATATCCCCGTATTTGCAACGGTTTTGGGCACTCCTACATGAACTAAGGTTGCCAAGGTGCTGTCTGCCCCCCCTGTTCCAGCATATACGAGAACAGCCGGGTTAGATTTTCAGCCTGTTCAGGGAACTGGCTTTGGCGTTCTCTGTCGGTATCACGCCAACATGGAGCGATTGCTGCATATATGGGTGGCAGCGCAGGTCCCCAGGCCCCTTGATTGGTTGGTTAATAGGCTCGAGATGCATCTTTTTTTCAGCCCGTCCCCTTAAGCCGTTATCAGCTCCTGTATCTCGGTGTGCATACAACAGTCCAGAGAGATACTGAGGTTTCTTCACATGTTGCAATTTCCAAATCGGGTATAGAGAGAGAAGAGAGGCCTCATGGTCAAGGTCTAGAGCGCGGCTTCTAAGTTTTTAATTTATCTCTGCATGAAGGCTGTCTTGATCCATCGCAACACACAGCCTTGGCTAAAGTATAAAGAGCTGCGACTCGAACAATTTGTTGATGGACTTTCTCTTCTCATCACACACCTTCACACCTGTTTGTGAAGCCCTATAGTCTCTCTTATAATTCCTTTAATACTCTTAACTATCTTAATTCCTTCTTGAATCCCCCAACATGCAGCGACACGCTCTTCTGTCCCTGCTCGCCGGCGCATTGAGCCAGGCATGCGAACTCCCCACTGACCCTATCCCAAACACCATTTCTGATGGGTTCGGGATCCGAGTTCAGAACGGAGATTTCCCTGCCGTCAATGGCCGGTACTGGAACCTCTTCGAGGCTGGTGGAGGCGACCAGCATTTGTACCTGAGCCCAACTGGCGCCTACGCCTTTGACCTCACTCTCAATGCCGGAGTGATTTCCAAAGGCATTATCCATGCTGTCATCAACGGAGAGGTGAGTAGATCAATTGAATGAACGAATGAACTTGAGTCCGTGAGACAATGCTAACGCAGGCAAATACAGTATCTGATCTCTGACAACACCACCAAGATCTTCATGACCGAGCGTGGTGATCCCAGGGCTCTCTTCCAGCCCGTGTATGGTTGCCACCCCGTCACTGATGAGGTCCAAGTTGAGCTCCAATTCCTCGGCCGCGAAGGTGATGAGGCCGGCGGCAACGTCTGTGTCCGCACCGGAGCCTTCACCGACAGCTACGAGTTCCGTTACTCGCCACCCGGCAACACTGGTAAGCTCACCACCCCATCAACAGTTCACCGAACCCATGCTTACTCGTGAACTTAGCCTACGACCCAAACAGACCCTGTATCCCCATTACTCTCGCAGTTGATCGCAGCGAGCCTCCTCCCCAGCCTACCCCAACCCCCACCAGCTCCATCCCTCCCGGTCCTACCGTCACCCCTGGCCTCTTCGCCGACGTGACGGCCGAGGGCTACGCATTCGTCGGCTGCGCGCCCGAGGAGGGCAACGCCAACGATAACACCACTGAGCGCACCCTCCCTGCCTCCCTCTACGCCTCCGACGCCCTCACCAACGAGGTCTGCGTCAACTACTGCAAGTCCCTCGGCTACAAGTACGCTGGCAGTGAGTATAGCCGCGAGTGCTGGTGTGCCAACTCGTACCTGCCCACTCGCCAGCCCGGAACCACCCTCTCTAGCTTGGCCGGCTGCAACATGGCGTGCGCCGGTGATGCCTCCCAGTACTGCGGTGGCGGTGGCTGGCTGAGCCTGTACTCTGCTTGTGAGGAGGGCGCTCCGTGCACCAACGCCGAGTTCTCGGCTGTGAGGTCCATGCCCTTCCGTGCTTGAGATGTGAAGGTGTAATTCGAGGAGGATAGAAATTTGAGGAGGATAGGAGGCTATGAGAGTGTGGATTATGTAACTAGGAATAATATTAGTTATTCAATTCCGTATATCTGGGTTCATTCTGAGTCGTATCTCAGTGTGGCCGAGCTATATGGATAATAATTTCTTTGGAAGTAATTTGTAGCCTAATATCTGCGATTTTTTATCATCCAATAACCAAAGAACTGATCAAGCTGTCTGCACAGGAAGAATGGGATTGGTCAACAAGTTAAAGGGACTGAGCACGAGAAGCTAAGACGATATTTTGCTGATATGTCGGTTTGCTTATGATGTGTTGGTGCAATTGTCACACTCACACTTTTTTGTTGATGAGATTATTCTTCTAATAGGAGGCTGTCGTTTCTAGTTGATATTCGCAAGGTATGATAGGCATGCTGGACTTACAAAGGTAAGGTTTTTTGGGTCAGCACTCTTAAAGCCATACTTGAGACCACAGGGAAATCTCTTCGTCATGTTGAATTCACGATTTTACTTCTACCAATCAAAATAATGACAAGATAAGGCACTTTCATCTAGCTCTCATCCGTATCGCACCACCAGTGAGGATAACACAGGTGATGGATTGAAGAGGAAAATGGATCAATAATGCCTATCTCTCAAAGATATCTTCGGATTGTTAGAACTGATTGGAGCGATCAAAGGTAAGCTTGTTGTATAAGATGAGATATATCTACAACAGGGGTGGACATAACTGCCCAGTTTATTTACTGCTATGGCTTATTGGAGTTAATGTAGTCTCCCTTTTTCCTCAACAATGTCACGTCAACGTACCTCAGACGCTCAATTTCCATCAATCAACGAGTTAGGCTGTTCCATTTTACTACACTCACACTCGGTCGTAGTCATATCGGATGATCTCGGGATTTTGATTAGGCCGCAATGTTGCAGACTCTGACCATGAACGACATCAAACACCCGGTGACCCAGTCACTCGGGTGGGTGTTGTCCGCCAGTGGATTGCTAATCAATCTCAGCCCTAGTTTAGGCCCGCGCCGCTTCCGTGGTGGCGATTGTACACGTCTGAGCTTATTAGTTTAGTTCTATTCTTGTCTATAGACTGGGGCAGCATTGAATCCTTCATAGGGAATGGTGCCAGTGAGAAATCGTTGGTTGCGTGACAAGCGTGACCAGAGCGAACCACCTCGTTGCCTCACGAGGCAGATCTTTCTCGTCATATTCTCCCCCATGGCCTCATCCCAGCCTCGTGGTCATTGTCGCCACCCCGGATATATTGCTCCGTGCGACGCTGCCCTGATGCTACATATCCGGCAATAACTTAATGCTCAGATTGCCTATACAGAGGTTGCCTATGGAAAGTTGATTTCTGGTTCAAACACTCAAGGTCCGTAGATGTAGATGCGGGTTGTTGTTCACCAAGGAAAATATTTCGCCGAACACATTATATTGATCATCCAGCTGTGAGTAGGGTTGAGAAGGAGGAGCGCTGACATGCAGAAGCGCCGGACCATGTATCCAACCACGAGCGTTTTCAGGGCACCACGACTGGGCCTCATACCATGATAAGCCGGTTAAAAGTCCGAATCGAGCAGGTGCCAAGGCTTGCATTGTTTTCTGAGGCTGCGGCTCCATATAGACGAATTACTTTATAATATTCTCGATGAGTCCGGTGGCCATTGGAATAACAGTAGTACGCTCTCTGAGCGATTAAATAGGAGCATCCTGGAGCTAATACAGTAGTGTTGCTATCAGCTTTTGTGCCCTTGCTTTCTTGTTTATGTGGCCCTTGCTCGCCTCTTTCTGTCATTACCTTTGCTCGAGCGACTGCTGCCTTCGGCTTCGATATGGCCTTTAAACTTTGGGAGTCTACGGCAGCTTCCATATTTAGAACATGCACAAGTTTACGGAAATATGCTCTGAATTGGTGGACTATTGAGCTTCTGGCTATGGCTGGGGCCATAGCGACCTACCTGGCTCTGATCTCACATTTGCATTACTGGCACGAAAAACCGACTAAAGAGTGGCCGAAGCAATGGTCCCTTGGGATTCTAAGCACTCTTCAATCGTCAGTTTCCTTATTTGCGACTATGCTGAGGGCTCTCATTCTTTTCTTCGTCGCGGCAGCCATCAACCAGCTGAGATGGTATTATACGCAGCATTCTACCGCCGGCCGGCGCATTGGGTTCCTTCAGGCCCTCGACGATGCCTCTCGAGGTATATTTGGGTCTCTGACACTGCTGATTTCTCGTGACTTTTTGAACTGGTCATCGATAGGGTGCATCATCACCATTGCAGCGTTTTTGGTTGGACCCCTGACCCAGAATGCCGTCAAGCAGGAAACCAGAGCAAAGGATCCAGTCAAAGGTGCACATATCAACGTCGCCAAGGTGTACAAACTAGTTCACTCCAACGGGAATCAAGATGCGTTGACTGCTCCAGCAAACATTGAGTCAGCCATCGTCAATGGGTGGGGCCATTATGCGACACTTCAATTCGAAAAAGACGATTCTGTGATGGAGAAAGTGTTCCCTACGCCTCTCAAATGCCCGGAGAAGAATAGGGTATCTTGTTCATGGAGAAATATCAGCAACCTCGCAATCGACTATGAGTGCGCAACAAAGCCTATTCGATTGCTCGACCTAGACAAGGACTACGAGCTCAACATGACAGCTAGCATGACTAGGCCTGAGAAATCTAGCTTGCCTCGGAGAGAGGATCCTCTTATTATCCATGTACGGGCAACTGGAAGGCCGCGAGAGAAAGGCGAGGACTATGTCGAGCATGCGGAGTGTGCGCTTTACTGGAAAATCCAGAGTTTTAAGAAAGCCATTTACAATGGAACGCTTTGGCAGGAAAACACAAAATTCCTTCCTGAGCTGCCTGTTGAACATGAGGGCTCTTCAATTAAATGGAATGTTTCATCATCTGTGTTCGAGGTCATGAACAATGCAACACAGGGGCTGAGCACCAGCATGAGCTCGTGTTTCAACAGAACTATCCTGAGGAATCCCAACTCCGGAAAGCTAACCTATGATGAAATGGCGACCCGCGTTTTCCGCGACAGCTGGAACAAAAAAGCTGACAAGAACCTCAATACCCTTGCTCTCCAAACAACGCTCAAGAGCTACGTTAAGAACGTTGCTCTATACACCTCCGCTGCCATCCGCGCGAAGTCCGACGAGACGGCTCCCGGTTACATTCACAGGAGAGAGGAAATTTACGTCATCAAGAAACTATATCTGATATACCCGTTCGTCGTGCTGGTTTTGAGCATTCTTTTCTTCCTGGTGACGATATACATGACCTGGAACGACGAGATCTGGAAGAGCAGTCTTCTCCCATTGCTTTATCACGGCTTCGCTGAATCTTTCCCTGACAATCTTAACACCATGGTCGAAATGGAAGATGAGGCGGACGGCAAGGCGTTCGAAATGAAGAGTGATGGGGAGAAGGGTTTGAGGCTTTACGAGAAAGAGCAAGTTGAAACTCGGATGCCTAGCACTAAGAGGGGGTATCAATCAATCATTCCACTCGAGCCGTATGGCGCAAACAGAAACGATGGATGATCTGAATTGTTCACCTTGGATAGCAGTGAGGAGAGACTTTTATGGATATTATCTTAATAGATTTCTTGGTTGATAAATACTATACCACCTTTTATTTATCTTTCACACGTCTTTAAATTTCATTCTCGTGCTGTTACATCTACTTTCTTTGGCGCTAACTAGCTCTATATGTTCTTATCTAAACCTCGCTGGCAGTAGGCTTTATATACGATTTCTCTCCCGATTGAGCTCGAAAGGGTTCAATTCTGGGATACCGTTTGACTTATTAAGAATTGAAAGGCCCTCGAACAAAACTTCTGTTTTAATTTGTGTTTCTAAATGCCATTTATGCTTGAATTGATTGAGGCTCTGAGGAATGGGTTAATAGACGAGCCGCCGGCGAAACTGCTCCCCGGGACTAGCTGGAAATGGTAGAGCCCGGGGTTGAACTCCGTCCATTCCAGCCGGACTTATTAATAATGGACTGGAGGAAAAACTGCCGAGGCCTAATTACAGTTGCATTCCTGCTTTTGGCCGGTGGCTACAAAGTTGATCTGCTAATCCCGATAGAATGGCCTGGAATCCCGACTGGACGCTTGCGGTCTCAATTGAAAAGCTTCTATCTTCCTGATTTCCACAACTCCCTTTCCTGCAAGTATCAAGCGAAGGTATCGTCAAAAACACATTTACTACAGATATGCGCTCTCTTGCTACCAAGCAGTATGGAAAGCCCGATGGCTTTGAGATCCTTGATTTACCCCAGCCAGAGGTAAAAAATCCGGATGATGTTTTGATCAAGGTCAAAGCCGCTTCTATCAATCCAATTGACCTCCATGTCGCCAACGGGCTGGGCAAGGGTTACATCCCTGGCAGGTAAGCCCTTCAATGCTTCCTACACGTGGGTTCATTTTCTCACCTGGATCACGAAGTCTACCATTCAAGATCGGATACGATGTTTGTGGCACTGTAGTTGCCACCGGCTCCGAAGTGTCTTCAGATGTCAAACAGGGAGACGAAGTATGGGCCAGAGTTCCCGAACAGTACCGCGGCACAGCATCGGAATATGTCATCTCTCCAGCGGTCGCCACGGCGCATACACCAAGCTCATTGTCGCATCTTGAATCCGCGTCGATGCCATTGGTTTCTCTCACTGCCCTTCAGGTCCTCGACAAGGCCAATGACATCATAGAGGGGGGCCTCGAGGGCAAAACTCTCTACATCCCCGCAGGGCTATCTGGAGTAGGGAGTGCCGCTCTGCAGCTCGCTAAGAGAATATTCAAGGCCGGCAAGGTCATCACTACTCTCTCAACAGGCAAGATAGCCAAGATAGATGGGCTTATTGGCGAGGGAGTGGCCGACCAGATTGTGGACTACACCAAAGAAGATCCCGCCAAGGTCATTCCGGCAGGCTCCGTTGATTTCATGTTCGATATTACCGGGCAAGCAATGCCCAGCCTGCATTTGATGAAGAAGAACGGCTTGATTCTGACGATCAACGGAGTCCCTTTCGGGGAGAGCGTTAAACAGCGACTCCCTAACCTGCCTCTGATCCCGCGACTGATCTTGGGCACGTATGGCACTGTTGTTCAGTTTAGGGCATCAAGATGGAGCGTGAAATATCTTCATGTTTTTGTACAGCCGAGCGCGGAAGATCTCACAAGGCTGCGTGGCTGGGTTGAGCAAGGCTTGATCAAGCCAGTGGTAGGAAAGGTTGCCAAATTTGAAGACATCAAAGCCATTCGTGAAGGGTGCCTGGAGATTGCGAGTGGGAAGGGAGGGATTGGGAAGTTTGTCATTGATTTGGAGGCATAATTTTGATCTAACAACAATCTAATCTACTATACCATCAAAGTATCGATACGATTACGAAGCATTTCCTTTGTAGGGACTTGTCTAAGATTTCTCCGTCGTAGTTGCCCCTGCTTAGGAAGACCCATATCCGTCCTTGAAAGGTGTAACATCAAGACGAAAGCAGTATCAGGGATGCTGGTCTCCTTCCTTCTAAATCCTTTACCTTTAAATGATGCAGTTTGGTATTCTATGCATCTAATAACTGACACGCAGTTTTGATAGTGACAAACCGTTCTCTTCCCTGTTTTATGGTTCTGACTGGTGATCCACATTTGTCCGCAGCCAGGATCGTGGCCCATGTTACGGAGTAGTATTGTTCATGTTTCTAAGGATGGCAGGGATAGAGAATTAGCGAGATGCGCAGGGGGCGAGTTTCGGCACAAGACTGAGCTGGAATCGGCCTCTTCCCGATTCGGATCGACTTGATTTAGCCGGACACGCGCGGCAGACGTACTTGGCAACTCGGCAATCGATGATCCCCTGTATGAACATGAGCTGAGAACAGGTGGAATACCCTAGAGGAGTGACGAGATTGTCTGTCCTCGGTCTCCCTTGGTGCCATGACAGCACGGTTCGACAATATTTGTTGGTCTGTATCAAGCGGACAAGGTGTTAGCCAAGAGGAGATCTGAGGATATGCATTTCTGTAAACTACGGGCTCTTAATTCTGGTGATCAAATAGGCGTTGTATTTCAATAAGAACCGGATATGCCCAATTTTGATGGGACATCATAAGCATGACCAGTTATCCCAAGTCTGTTGACAGGGTCATGTTTTGGATTCATTAATGTATGCTTTTCTATTTTCAATTCCACTATTCAATATGTGACTCCTCAACAACAATCACCGGAAGATGCTCTCAAAAAAGTGGTGATCATGATCATTCTAAACTGGCCCACCCCATATCCGTGGCATTGGCGTAAATGCGCTTTAGTTTCATGGGTCTGTAAGATGATAGAGTAACCCCATTGATGATGATACTATGTACCATCCTATGGATGTCGAGACCTGATCGGCGGTTAGCTTGATCCTAACAGAAGGATTTCGAGTCAATAATGGGGTTTGATCCTACCAGAACAGAAGGAACTCGAGTCAAGAATGAGGCTTGAGCATCAGCTAAGCTCCACTTTGCGCGCGCGGGTCGGGTTATGTGGCGGGTTACAAATGTTATGGCATTATTTCCAGGGGAGAGATGATATCAACATATCTTGCTAAGATGACGATACGACATTGCGTGGAAGATACCCACATGATCCATGAGCACACCAGTACAGATCATGGGCGACTTTCATTCCTACAGGATTTCCACAGAATGAAGCGCAAGACTGTTTTGTGAAGCCACTTGTGTACAAGGTAATAATCCGGTCGTATTTTTGTAACAGCATGGTCTTTTCCGCAAGAGTCGGAGAACTAGCATGGGCTCATTTCAACACGGGCCGCTCGCCAACGCGCATGCTTCATATGGAAAATTACTACATCTCGCCTTAAGATATTAACAAGTTAGGAAGCTATATGTTGGAGTCTAAACAGAGCATTAAAATATGTAGCTAGTTTAACGTGTATCTTTTGAAAGCTCCATTGCAATCAAGGTTGTTGAAGATCGGAATTTATCCAAGAAAACCGATATTTGACATTGTATTCGTGCCGGAACTGCCCTCTTCGAGTGGTTACTCTCCAGGGGCTCCTCAGGAATCGATGGGTGGCTGAGTTATCGAGCATTGACGCATCAAACGTGTCAAGATATTAATAAAGCGCAGCCCTATGGAAGTTTGTAAGCCTCCCCTTAGATCTATTGTCAGGGGCGAGATACATATCCAGTCAAGCCATGTTTTGAGTGGACTGGGGTGAACTGCCAGGCCGAAGGAGTCTAAGCACCCCGCGCGCGGGACTGTTTCGGCTATTGACCCGTGGCAGGATTCTGATCCAAGTACTACCTGGTAGTGGAAGTAATACCGGCAGTGACATCCTAGGTAATTACAAGCATCTTATCATGAACAGCAGCTAGAGGGGATTTGGCAATTGATCACACTACCTCCCATGGGGCATTGACAACGAGCAGTGCTGAACCACGAGTTGTCTTGTGGAGGGAAGTGGAGGTGCATCCATTCATGAAGCTTGCCTTTGAATCCTCCGTCGACCTGTTCTCCCGGGGGCGTTTCTGCTAAGGCAGGTTTGGATGCCATACTGTATTACTATCCAGTGTCTGTTTGCCTCAATGATATGCAGCATGCTAATTTTAGAGAATCTCCAACTGCAAGATGCTATAATCTATGAATGACCAAAGCTGGAAATATCTATATAAACCACCAGTTCTCCTCCCTCTTGAGTTTGCCCTTTCTCATTATCAACACACAAACAAACAAAAAATTCATACTTAGAAGCTTTGGCCTTCTAATTTTCCTTGAGTTTTTTCTTTTGACTCTTTTTTTTCCATTACTTGATTTCACATTCATCTGTAATCTTCTTCGACCAGAATTATTTCTTCACTCTTCATTCCAATTTTCAGCATCATTTTTTCTCAACCAATCTTTAAAATGGTCGCCGCTAAGCAACTCAGCCTCGCTGCCCTTCTCTGGCTGGGCCTTGCCAACCAAGGTCTTGCGCTCGGCATCAATGAAGCCACCAACGATCTCACTCTCATGGAGAGAAGCCCTGCCCACAAGGGCCCCATGGCAAAGGTTATAACTCCTGGCCACTCAGCCGGCGGGCCGATTCATCACCTAAGGGACGAGGAAGAGGAGCTTGATACCCGCGATGAGGAGGAGATCGAGGAGCGCGATTTCGATGAGCTTGATGAGCGAGATTTCGAAGAGTTGGACGAGCGTGATCTCGACATTGAGTCTCGTGGGGAACGTCCCGGGCACGCCCCAAGCCACGGCCCTAAGAAGCATCGACGAGATCTCGAAGAGTCTGATCTTGAGACTCGCTCACCTATTAGGGCTATTCCCGGAGGCACCCGTGGCAGCTGGGGTGGACAGAATGGTCTTAGGAGGCCACGAGATATTGAAGCCCGCCGACCCCCTGTGCCAGGTGGTGGCCGCCCTGCCCCGGGCCCTATCCGCCCCCCTAAGAGGATTGTACGAGACCTTGAAGATTTTGATCTTGAGACTCGCTCACCTATTAGGGCTATTCCCGGAGGTACCCGTGGCAGCTGGGGTGGACAAAATGGTCCTAAGAGGCCACGAGATATTGAAGCCCGCGGTTCCAGTGATCGCAAACCTCGTCCCAAGCCCGCCCCTGTGCCAATTGGTGGCCACCATTCTGGGGTACTTGGTAAGAAGGGACGAGATCTTGAGGACGTTGAGCTTGAAGCCCGTGGCTCTAGTGATCGTAAACCTCGTCCTAAGCCCGCCCCTGTGCCAATTGGTGGCCACCATTCTGGGGTACTTGGCAAGAAGGGACGAGACCTTGAGGATGTTGAGCTTGAAGCCCGTGGCTCTAGTGATCGTAAACCTCGTCCTAAGCCCGCCCCTGTGCCAATTGGT